TCTCTCTCTTCCTCAAATAAACAAATAAATCTTTAAGAATAAGTCTCTTGCACTAAAGGTTGATGGTGAAATGGAGAGAAACAGGAGACTGGAATTTTGGTCTGAGTTCTACTACTAACTGGTTATCTGGTCACTGGACTGCCCTGGGTCTGTTTCCCCAGAGGTTACACTAATACTAGATGAAGCCTTAAGTTCTTTCAACTCCAGAAGTCTATGATCATGTGCACATTCAGAAGAAGAACATCGTCTGTGATTTTTCTACTCTGTAATAACACTGGTGGCAGAGACAATGGTGGGGAAAGTTGAGGGCAGAGGGGCAGTGACGACAAGATGAGTAAGATGTGGTTTGAACCCTGAGCTGATTATGTGGTTGGGCACAGTTCCAGGGCTGGACTGATGCAGCAGAGATAAAAAGAAGTTTCCAGTTTGTTCTCAGGCCTCTCTGAATCCAGCTGTGTTATCTGGTGCACGCGCAAGGCTGAGTTAGTGCGATTTCCCAGTGGTCACTTAACCATCCAGCTACAGATTTGCAGATGTGAGCCCTTAGATAAATCAGTTAGCCATCTGGGCCTGGGATTTCTTCATCTGCGAAGTAAGAGAGTCAGGTTAGATCAGAGGCTTCTGATGTTTTCTGAGGAGAAACTATTTTTGAGTTGTTCTGGTTCTTACCTGGAGATGTTCGTCATCTTCCACCCACTCAAGGCGGATGGGCCCCAAGGTTTTGTCTTCATTTTTCTTCTCTTGTTCTCAGATCATCTTATCTGCCTCAGACTTCACTTACTGCTTTTATGTATTTGATGTTCAAATATGTATCTCTAAAACTGAACCCTCTCTTGAATGCCAGACCCTAATTTCTACCTCTGTGCTCCATGTGTTTACCTGTTTCCATCTTAATAAAACCAATTCTTTTTTTTTTTAAGAGGGGGAGGGGTGTAGAGAGAGAGAGAGAGAATCCCAAGCAGACCCCACGCCCAGCACAGAGCCCGACGTGGGGCTCGATCCCACAACCTTGAGATCATGACCTGGGCCGAAATCAAGAGTTGGACGCTTAACAGACTGAACCACCCATGCGCCCCTTAAGGAACCCAATTCTTTATGTTCAAAACCAAACTCACCCATCTTCCCTTGCGTACCAGTTCCTCTTCTGGTTTTCCCAGGTTTTGTTAATAATGACATGCTCCTGGTCACAGGCAGGTTGGAAACCCACACTTCTTTGATTCCTTCTTTCTTCCCTGCTATAGCGAGTCACTGGTCAACCTTCAATTCTCTCTGCATTACCATTTCTTTCTTTTCCCTTCCTGATGTCATTATTCTAGGACAGGATCTGGTCGGCCCCTCTGCCCCTTGTCTCTCCTCTAAAGCATCCCCCATGCCAGATTAAGCCCGTAGCCTCTCTGAACCTGCCATCTCTCTCATCCTTCTCTTCCAAGGCTGACAAAATCTTATTTATATTTCAAGAGGCAGCTAAGTGATGCCTCTTCACTCCTTCAGGCCTTCCCTGAACACCCCACTGGCCACATTTCTCCTTCTTTTAGCACCTTATTCTTGCCTATCTTATTACCCCCCCAACCCATATACATATATGGTTATAGCCCTTATATCTTATGATATAAATTATACACCTTCTTGGAGGCCAAGGGACATGTTTCCTTAACCCGTAGCACTTGCAGCACCTGATATGCACTAGGAGCTAGAAATGCCATTGGATCATTAATATTACATTATTTACCCATTATTCAAAATAATCGTCTGTAAATCGAAACAACACATTCATCTTAATAACTGATCTAATCAAACACTAATTAAATAAGATAAATAACCTATAAATCCCAAAGTAATTAAATCTTGGCCTTGGTGTCCCACCATTCTTACTTTTGTATCTAGTTTAGGGATGATTTTCTGAAGAATTTTGATTTTGATTTCAGGTACAATATTGGGCTAATAAAGTCATTAACTTACAGTTAAAGATAACTTGTCTCTCTTGTGAGACCATCCCTAGGAAGCTGCTGGCTTTGCTACTTCATTCATACATCAAACCCCAGGGCTGGTTTCCTTTCTAGCTGGAGAATCACATGATGATGTGGTTCAGCGCTGGGGCTTTGGAATAGGGCAGACCTGGCTTTGAATTCTGACTCTGCCTTTGTTCTCTGTGCTACCTTGCCAGTTTACCTCATGTCTCCCAGACTGCAGTTTTCCTCATCTGTAAATGGAGGTCGTAATACATCTGTCCTATAATTATTGCAGGTGCTTGTTCTACTCCCGGGAATTGTTCAGGAGTAAATCTCTTGTTTCCCATCCTCACCCGAAGGGCTCGTCCAAACCTGGTGGGTTTTCTCTCAGTTCTGTGGCTCTAAAAATGCAAACCACACTGTCCCATGTGATTTCAGAGGCAGACTGGAAAGTTGAGACAGAATTGCAGGGGATGTTGGTGCCTGTTTTCCTTGCCGGGGGGAGGAGGAAATCAGATCCGTGTCTCTGATTTAGAATCAGATGATGACAAACAGCTCATGAGATCCTTTTTGTTGGAAAAAAAAATTCTCTACCGGGCGCCTGGGTGGCTCAGATGGTTAAGCGTCTGCCTTCCGCTCAGGTCATGATCCCAGGGTCCTGGGATCGAGTCCCGCATCGGGCTCCCTGCTCCTTGGGAGCCTGCTTCTCCCTCTGCCTCTCTCTCTCTCATGAATAAATAAATAAAATCTTAAAAAAAAAATTCTCTACCATCTCCTCTTGCCCCAGTCTCTGAGATCTCCAGGCTTCCTAAAAGGCTACACCACTGGGGTTTCCAGTGAAGAGCCAGCCCAGTCCAGGACATGAGATCAGTCTCCTGTCTTATTTCTGTTCATAGAACAATAAAGGAAGGAGGCTACCAATTGCCAAGCATTGAACACGTACTATGTGGTAGGCACATCTTATAGATAATTACGTTTACTCTTTTTTTTAAAAGATTTTATTTATTTGAGAGAGAGTGGGCACCTGAGTGAACGGAGGGGCGAGAAGGAGAGGGAATCTCAAGCAGACTTGGCCCTGGGCGCTGAGCTGAGGGGGGCATGGTGGGGGAGGGACACAGGAAATGACTCGATCTCATGACCCTGAGATCATGACCTGTGCCAAAATCAAGAGTCAGACGCTTAACTGACTGAACCACCCAGCCACCCCTAGATAATTACAATTAATCTTTTTTTTTTAAGATTTTATTTATTTATTTGACAGAGAGAGACACAGCGAGAGAGGGAACACAAGCAAGGGGAGTGGGAGAGGGAGAAGCAGGCTTCCCACAGAGCAGGGAGCCTGATGCGGGGCTCGATCCCAGGACCCTGGGATCATGACCTGAGCCAAAGGCAGATGCTTAACGACTGAGCCACCCAGGTGCCCCTGCAATTATTCTTAACTTCATGAGATAGGTATCATTACTTCCATTTTACAAATAAGTGGAAGCGAAGATTATATAGCTAGTAAATCTGAGAGAGAGAGGCAGTGAACCCTCGTTGGTCTGCATCAACTTTAACATCTGAAGCCTGCAGTGTAATTGGACCAAATTACCCCTATGAGGGGAGGGTTTCCTGCAGGTGAGGGGTATTCTATGTTTCTATGACAGGGAAGTTGTGACCTAAGAGGGTTAATCTCTGTTAACTTAGTACCACATGGAAATAGTTTTTAGAAATACTGTCTGGGGACACTTGGACCCTGATCCTGCCTTCTTGCCTTACGATTATGTGACACCAATGATAGTGAGTGTGTTTCCAGACAGGTCCATGTTTGTAAACATTCCTGTAAGAATAGGTACAGAGATTGTTAACATAAGTCTTTCTGGCACAGTGAGGTAAGCCCCAAGTAATAATACTGGGTGAGCCCCAGTAGTATGGCAAAAAATTGGATACTTTCTCAAATTTTGAATACTTGGGCTGCATGCCTTCTTAGGGAACCAGAAGCCAGAGGGAAGCTGTAATGATATATGTGACATCTGTTCTTGCTCCGTGTGGCCCCTTTATTCCCATTAAGCCCCGTGTCCTTCACTGAAGAAAGTGGCAAGTTACAGTAGCTGTTGAGCAACCCACCTGAATACCGTGGCACTGTGCAGAGCTGGGTGTTATTATATCCATTTAGTGGAGGACAAGAGACCCGCAGAAATGATGTAACGTTATATACTAAAATGCAATGCTTCCCAACACATGTAACAGAAAACCCGAGGTGAAATGTATAGAGTGCTCATACTTGAGTGTTAAAAATTAATAAAAACTCTACATTCATATATCTTCATTTATGTGTAGATAGTTCTAGAAGACTGTTCAGGCAACTGATAACTAGTGGCATCGAAGAAAGGCAATGGTAGTCTGAGGGAGAAGTGAGACCTACTTTGATTGCACGGAATGGTGGGTCCAGGGCCAGGGCAACCCTGGGAGCACGGGAGACCCTCTCAGGGGACCTACAAGAACAAGACTATTTTCACAATAATCCCAAAATGTTTCACTTTTTTTTTTTTTTTTTACTCTCAATCTCCCACAATTACATGGTGGAGTTTTCGAGAGGTTAACTGATATGTGATATTGCAACACATTGAATTCAGAAGCAGATATGAGAATCTGTGTTCAATTAAGCCAGATACCAAAGGGATTCTTTAAAATGTAAAATAATGCCACTCTTCTCATTAAGTATTTTTTGACAATAGCTATTTTTATAAAAAATATTATTTATGTTAACACATAATCATCGTAATAATTTAAAAATAATGTTTAAGAAATTAAAAATGAATAATAAAATTTAATAATAATTATTTTAAATAAACAATACATTTAAAATTTTGTTTTAGTTTCTAAGTTGATAAGTATCAGTAGGTGTAAGAACCCTCAGAAACAAAATGTCTTTGAGATCCCCTTGGTGCCTAGGGTGCTTGGGGGGGTTTGTGTTTGATAGGCACCCCAATGTCAAGTAGGAAAGGAAATGTGAATGAAGCAAACATTTGTAACGTGATACTGCTTTTCCTTTTTTCATCTTCCATAAAGGGGTATCTACAAGTGGTGTGGAGTTCCATGCTGTAGAAAGTTCCAAGGCTTGTGGCTTGAAGCAAAGACGTTGTGACAGTTGAAGAGACGCCAAAGCCAGCTGTTGTGGAGGATTCTGTTCCTCGGAGAATGTTCTGCACCCATGGATGTAAGTAGGGCCAGTCGCTGAGCCGGAGGGTGATGGCAGGAGGGGTGCCCTGAAGCCCCTCACTTACCTGGCTGGTGTCACAAGGTCCATCGAGCATGTGGGTTCTGTGCCGAGAGCTGGTATCAGAGGAGATCATGTATTTGATTGTATGGGAAAGCCAATGTTGAATGTCAGCTCACACTTGACTGATCCAGATATGGCTACCCCCCAGGTTAGAGGACAATCCTGGGGTGTCCTGGCTCAGGGCATCCTCCCTGACTCTGAGTGGGCCTGGGTATCACGGCCTTCCCTGTCCCTACAGGACCCACTGGAATCTTGGGTTTCCCATATCGATCTGGATCTCTCCTAATTTCATATTTTTTTTATAAGTTGCCTTCTTCCAGCAATAATTTGAGGTGGCTTAGAGAAAAAATAATAATTCACAGATCTACTAACATCAGGGCCACTGAAGCAGAGTCCTGTAGTAAGGTTTGGAGGAGTCACACGTACAAGAGAACCTAGGCTAGGGTACTTCCGGCAGATAAATGCCATGCTTAGCCCTGGGCCTCAGGGCAGAAAGAGGAGGGTGGTGCATCTCGGAGCTTCCGTGAGGAAGCTAGGAAGCGTTCGCCCATGTCGAGGTGGTCTGCTCTGAGTGAATTTTGGTCTCGAGGGGACTTCTCAGTTCATCCCTTAGCAGACTCGGATCCCACTAATGAGTCTAGAACTGTAGTCATTCCACGAGTCTGCCTGGATCTCGCAGAAGGCAGAAACCGCATCTCCTCCATGCCTGTAGCCCCGGCACCCCGCTCAGGGTCTGGTGCACACGAGATGCTCAGGGGGAACCCGCTGACTTCACTTCTACTTACATCCCTTACGGCTTCCAATGAATGGGCGGCTGAGCGAATAACACGGACCCGTGAGTCCTTGCGAGTGAAGGGTGAGGGCAGGAGGGAAGAGCAGTATTTCCTGTCATCCTGCAGGAGATTTCTTCTCACTGTCAGGATGCTCATTGGATTATACACTCCTTCCATTTATTATCCAAGGAATAAACCTCCTCCCCATTTCTCCTTCACCTCCTTGTGGCGATAAACCATCCTGGGTCCCTCTCTTCCCACAGCTTGCCTTGACACTAATTTATTTCCCTCCTTCCCTTCCTTCCAATAGACTTCCGAGAGACTCTTGATCCTGGAGAGCTCAGAGGTCTTAACTGGACCCTTCATGGTGTGCCGTTCAGAATGAATAATTCATAGCTACATTTAGCTACTAACCAGAAGCTATTGCAGATTTTCTCTATTACACGAGATTCCTCAAATGTGATTTTTCGGTGGCTCCTACTGCTTTACTTTCCAGAAACTGTCCCTGTGGACTTTTCTTCCCCTGCCACCCAATCCTAAGCGACTATTTCCAGAAATTAATATTTCAGCATCCACGGCGTGTGCTATATATAGCTTGTCTCGTGGAGCCTTGTCTGGCCGCCTCTCCCCACCTCCACTATCGTGTTACACCGAGAGCTTTCTCAAGTACCTCTGCTCCCCCAGGGAAGACTCCTCCTGGTCTCTTCTGGTCTCCAGTCCAGGCTTCCTCCTTTTCTGAGAATGACGGCACTAAGTATTTCATTCTGTTCCGAGGCTCGAGTCTCCGTTTCCTGTGTCTCCTATTAATAGGAGGAGCAAGTAATTTAGCATCTGAACGGGAACACTTGTGAGGGAAAGGGGGCGTTATTAATAGATACTCTGGAACATGGGGCTAATCCGAATGTATGGTCCCCTACTTTTCAGAGGTCTGGCCTCACTTATGAATACTGAGAGCAGAGGTTAACAATAGCCTTTGGAGAGAGACGCCTCCAATTCTGTCTGGTTGTTGGCTTTGCTCCCCCCCGCCCCCCCCCCAGTCTCTGGTGTAGATTTCACTCTGTGGAATGTTATAAAAGCCAGGGGAGAGCCTGTCCCCTCCTGGAGGTTAGAGCTCGCAGGGGACACTGTCGTGCTTGCCACAGAACGGGCGGTCCTGCTGGGGAGCCCGCAGAGCAGTCAGCCTGTCTTCCTTGCCTTTTCCTCCCCCTTCATCCCCTCCACTCCCCTCCCACTCTGCTCCATCTCCTGGGGGTCTTCCTGCTCTTACTGTGCCTCCCCCTGCCCCTCCCTCCGTGCCTCCTCCCTCTTGCTCCTGTTCTCTCTGCTTTTCTCTGTCTCCTGTCCGCTTGTCATTCACACTGTCTTCCTTTCCCTCTCTCTCCCAAAGCGTTGGAGTGTAGCTCAAAAGAGCAGTGCTGCCAATGTTAGCTTCTCCTTTAAAGGAAAAGTTTGTATTTCCAACTGGAACTTGATTTTCCTTCATGAGTTCGAAGCGGTCTTTTTCCCATTGCGAGCGTTGGCATAGGGCTGGTCTGTTTCTCATGAGTGTCTTGGATGGGAGGTCCTGCTTTCATGTGCCTGGAGGGCATGTTGTCTAGGGGACGGCACAGCCTGGGGTGTTGGAGGTGGGGGTGGCAGTGGGGGTGGGTGGCGCTTGGAGCTGTGACCGGAACAAACCTGGTCAAACAAATGCAGAGTGCATTACGGTTGAGATGGAAGAGACACTGTGACCATGTGGCTGCATAAGCCTCAACGTCTGAGATTTTGGATTATGGCTCAGATTTTGGAATATGGCGGGGCCAGGATTATTTTGGAAAAGGCAGGATCAGGGTCAGTGTCTAACTAATCAGAGAGCAACAGCTAGTGTGCCATGCAGGAGGGGAGACACCGGTTAGAAACCAAGGAACCAAGCCTGCCTAGGGGAAGGGAGGTCAGGTGTGTGAGAGGCTGGCTTAGAGGTTTCTGGAAGAACTGGGCTCCAACAACATTCTGAAAAGCATGAGCCACGAATGGACTGTGATGAAATGCAAGGAACGGTGGGGCCAGAGAGCAGCGTGGGACCCAAGCACTTTGGGTAACAGCTTTACTAACAAAAGCAGTAACTGTTTATTGAACACCTGTGATGTGTAAGGGACTCTGCAAGTGACTTGAAAGCATATAAATTAAGTACGAGATCATCCCAGCCCATGTGCTCATGGCTGACAGGAAAGGGAAGGAACAAAAAAGAGAACCATGCTCAGTACGGGGGGAGGCGCCCAGAGAGTGGTGAGTGGTGATGGAAGGGGACAGTACTTGTGGCTAGGTGGTCCTCGACTGTGGAGCGGGTGGGGCTGGGGCCCAGCCTGGGGGGCCGGGCAGTGGTGCAGTATGCAGAGGGGGCAAGGTATGGGTCGGTCACTATCAGTGGAGCTGACCTCAGCAGCAAGGACATGGAGTGACCAGTGAACTAGGGCCGCACTGCCTCAGGGGTTGGGGGTTGGGGGTAGGGAACAAATGGCAAACTACGGGGAACAGAGGGTCCAGGAGTGCTGGAAGAGAGAGCTGGAAAGGAGGGTGGCTGCCAGACTGGGGAGAGCTCTGACCGCTGGCTGGGCTGTGACATCTAGACACCATCTTAGCATCTGCCTGGTCCGTGCTCCTCTTGCCCAGTGTGAGTGTACTTCTGAACCAGGTTTATGGGGGAACTATTCAGGCCCCTAAAAAATAGACATGCATGAAACACTTGGAGCCAGCATTTTCTAAGGTGTCAGCCTCTTGTTTTTGCTTTGATCTTCACAGCTTAAAAGACTAGATTTAAGGGTCAGCCACAGACCGCATTGCCCAACCCAGGGCTGCTAGCAAGAATCTTATTTCCAGTGTTTCAATGTTCATCACCTTATAATTTCTCATATTATATTAATTACCTTAGCCTGAGACTGTGGGCTGCAGGAATGATGTGAAGTTTCCTGACTGGCAGCATTCGCTGAATTTTCTTCTGTGCTTGAACCTACTCAAAGCTCCTGCTTCTTTGGGTGTGGAGCCCCTGGTTCTTCCTCCTGTGATGGGTGAGAGTGGGTAAGGGTAACCCTTCTAGACATTCATAGCATTGGTCAGGATTTTTTCACTGATGTCTCAGGGTCTTAGACATTCCTATGACCTCTTATACTGATTATTTTTTTAATGTGTATGAGCTCCCCTCTCTCACTCCCCGCACCGCCCCCCCACCATGATAAAAAGATTGTAAGAAGGTCTTAGCCAAGGTCTGAGTCTCTATCAGGTACTTTTGCTTTTGTGTACCATCTAGCATAGTATTACACATGTGTTCTGTGTTTGGGGTTAGAGAAAGTGGGTGGGTGGTGGTGGGCTGCTGGGACCCACCTGCTCCCATGTTTCACCCCAGAACCGGGTCTTGTGGAGGATGTTCCAAAACAGATCTTCGCTAAATGAAGCATCATCCACTGACAGCATCCATGTTACCCAGGAGCTTGTTGAAAACACAGAGCCTCAGGCCTCAGAGTCTGTAATTTGACTGGTGGTTGAGACACATTGGTCTCCAGATGTAATGTGTACAAACCACTGGGGGATCGTGTTAAAAATGCAGTTTCTGATATTATTTGAGGTTACTTAGATAACAGTAGAACAAGGAGGCATCAAATTTTTCTTGTACCAAAGCAGCAACCTCCTTTCTAAGGGTGTCAGTGAATCTCATTTCCTCCTCATACTGACACTCGTGCACAGAACAGTTTATATCAGGGATTCGCAAACTATAGCCTGTGGTCCAAATCCAGCCTGCTGCTTGTTTTTGTCAATAAAGTTTTATTAGCACACTGCTCTGCTCATTTATTTACACATTGCCTATGGCTTCTTTTGTGCTACACAGGCCAAGTTGAATAATTATGACAGAGACCTTTTGGCCCACAGAGCCTAAAATACTGACTCTCTGGACGTTTACAGAAAAAAAAAAAGTGTGCTGGTAATGGCTTATGTGATGAACCCAAAATATTTCCTTGAAGTAAAGGAAATAGCTATAATCCTTTGCCCCAGTGGCAAAATTTGCAAGCCCATCTTAATCCATCATGGAGAAGCAGAGTCATAAGACGTAATTCCCAAGTGGGCAATGAAGTATCTTGAGTCCCAAATCGATCCAGATAATGGTACCAAGGAGTCTGTGACTTTCCAAGTCCC